TCATGACAGACACTACGGATGCATCCTGAGCAAGGAGTCGTCTTGCCTCTCCCGGGGAGGTGGCTGAAACCACTGCACACCGTCAAGGAAAATGCCAGCGCTGTGGACAAAGGATGGCTGATTAACGGAGGCACTGACCAAGCACCTATGAGACTTCCTGAAAGAGGAAGAACGGTCTGGGCACTTCTCAAGTAGGGTTTTGGCAAAGAAGAAGGGGGTTTTGGCAAAGAAGAATGACATTTTGGGGAAGGAGCAGCCGATGTCGGGCTCAGAAACGAAAAGGTCGTCAGTGACATGGGGGAATAGGTGATACCAAGAACTTATTCTCAGTTAATCCTCAATCCTTACACGAGCCCCATGCAGTGGAGTTCATTCCCTTTAACAAAAGGGGAACTTGAAGAACAGAGAGGTGGCGTAACTGGTCCCAGGTCACACAGCCAGTCCAAGTTGGATTCAGGAGTCAAGCCGCGTCCTGTGCCTCCAGAGGCCACCTCTGACCCAGGTCGACCAGGGGGTGGACGGATGGACTGCTGACCAGCTCCTCTGCTCACCAAAAAAGGTAGGGAGAGCAGTCACCACAGTGACATTTAGGAGCTTGAAATCCCAGACCTTTAGTTCAGAGAGAGCCTAGTGAGCTCGCACTGTGTGACACCAGAGGCAGAAAGGGCTTCATGGAAACCTCGTATTTATAATCACTCCTGTTCAGAGACAAACCTGAAAACGTTTCATGAAAACACTGTTTCCAAACCCACTAGACCTACTATTTCAAGTGTCAAGCAGCTGTAAGTAGGAAATATTTATTAACGCCAAGCACAGGACACAAGGTTACAATACTTTAAGGAAGGTGGAAAGGAAAAATTTCAAAGCTCCTCATTATCAAAACCTTTCTTTTTTTTTTTAATTTAAGCTCAAGCATCTATGAATCCACACAAAGAAGAGACCCAGTGCTGAGGCTCAGCCCGTCACCCCTTCACTTCACCCTTCCCGGGGAGGCACCCCATTGCTGCACTTGAGAATGAGAACCACAGGGGAACAGACAGACCAGTCCAAGGCTCACCTTTTCCCGTTGAATCACAGGATGAGCTTATTGGACACACTGGCTTCCCTGCTTTCTTCTCTCCCAAACGAGGGGCGTGATTCTTGTCCCAAAACATATCGTACCACATATGATGGCGGGCACAAGCCGGGGGTGGGGGTGCCCTAAGACAACCCCTCAGGGTCTGACTTCCTCCCCTTGAAGTGAAGAGCCCTGATGTCTCTAGAACAGAGGCCCTACACTATTTCGGATCAGTGACGCTTTTGAAAGTGTGGTGATACTTACTATCCTCTCTCAAACAACAACAACAAAAATACACTGACAATTTTGAAATGATGTTTGAATCCTTATTGATTCAAGAACCTCTTCCTGAGAGCATCTCGCTAGATAAATGCCAC